GCTCGTCAGAGGCACAACATTAACTATCACTGTGTCCTGAAAATAAGATAAGTTTTTTGTTATGCTAAAAAGTAATAAAATACAAAGTCTTGTGTTATCTTAACAAATCATGTCACTGAAAAAAATATGATTGGACAAAATACCTGTGAATAAACAACAGTCGCTCCATTTTCCTTGTTGATGCTAATAGCTTGAGCAGTAAGAATTGTAGTGCCGAGGGACAGAGCTGTGATAACCCCTGTATGCGATGTGTTGGCAATAGTCTCATTCAACATGGAGTACACAACTGTGGCGTCAGGATATGGTCCACCTTTTGTTTCAACCTGGTAATAAATAATAATAATAAAAATAAAATATTTAATCAGTTGTCTAAAATCAAATAAATACATAGGAAAAGAGGAAAACACAAAACAGAGAGAGAGAGAGAGAGAGAGAGAGAGAGAGAGAGAGAGAGAGAGAGAGAGAGAGAGAAGAGAAGAGAGAGAGAGAGAGAGAGAGAGAGAGAGAGAGAGAGAGAGAGAGAGAGAGAGAGAGAGAGAGAGAGAGAGAGAGAGAGAGAGAGAGAGAGAGAGAGAGAGAGAGAGAGAGAGAGAGAGAGAGAGAGAGAGAGAGAGAGAGAGAGAGAGAGAGAGAGAGAGAGAGATAATAATAATGAAAAAAAAAAATAAAAATAAATAAAAATAAATAAATAAATAAATAAAAATAAATAAATAAACAAAATAATAAATTATACATTACCCCTTTGGACCCAGATGACGTTGTGGTCACGTCAAGGAAAAACTTGGGCAGATGCTCGGGTAAAGTGAACATGCCATCAACAGGGCAAAGTGAACATGCCATCAACCAGGCAAATTGGCTGAGGACTGAGTGACGCGAACTGTCATCATGAAAAAACTCACCACAAGTGCACAGACCTCATAGAGTGTGATTTGACTCATTTGAAGGGGGCTTTAGCATTATTCCCATCAATAAACAAATGTGGAATGTAACGTGTGTAAGCAATGAGTGGAAGAGTGCCAGCTCCTGGGAGTATGCCAATTCCATGCAGCGCACCATATTCCTGGCCGCTATAACCAGCGGCGCAAATTGTATTACATAAAATTGAAAATTACGAAAAAATGAGATATATGGCGCCCCTAACCAAATATTCAATATATATATATATATTTCTTTGCACTGATTTATTTACTACATAGAGATGATATGGAGTCAGTGCACGGAAAATAAGTAATTACCACCTGGATAAAGCCAATCAAAGGACAAATAAAAATATTAGAAAATGTCGATAATGCTAAAAAAAATTTGGAGATAGAGAGTCTTGTCACTGCTCATGGGTGTTCACGTGCGCCTGGCCTATGCGCCACATGCCTGGGATATTAGCCACTTGAATAACCTAATGCCCGGGGTTTTCAGCTCCGTGATTTCCGTCATGCAACCAGATCCAAAGGGGTTAATATATAAACAAAAATAAACAGCAAAAACTGTAATGTCTTACTTGATAATTAGCACCAATAATGAGTGTGATATTCTTGGGCTGTAATGTGAGGGGAGGGAACACTTGCACAGGCTTGGACTGACTATGAATAACACTATCTCCCATAGGACCATTCCCTGCACTCGCCCTAAGAGTTGTATCACCTACATGCCGACCAACTACTTCATAAATGGCATTGTCATTATTGTTGGTGCCTAAATATCTGAAAGAAATTAAAAATCAAAAATTATTATGACAATACTGTATAATCTTTCCAACAGGTCAGGAATCAAACCAGAGAAATGAAGAAAAGCATCATTTTCCATACATCAAACATAGCACTTATGAACAATTTTCACATTCTTTAATGTAAATATAGAACATATATAAGCTTTCAATCAAAGTTTAGTTACTCAGAAATAAGGAAACTTACTTGGTTGTAATAATATTAGCCTGAGGATTTAGGGTCAAATCCATGAGAGTATGTGCTGGCAGGGGGTACCCACTTGCATCCCTTGCTATGACCTCAGCCTCCAATGTTCCTCCAAGTTCCACACGATCAACCATCACCAAGTCAAGGGAGACAATGCTAGCCACCTAAAAAGGAATTATGAATAAATATCTATGTTTAAAATCATATAACATATATAACCTAAATCCTCAACTTGACAATTTTTGGATTTTACAAATATCTTCTGACCATGGAGTTGTTTCTTGCTATGAGCAAGAGACAACATGACGGGTGATGCAACCATCTTGTCATGAAAAAAATTTGCTTGAGGGGTGGGTGACATAAACATGCCATCAAGGGTAAGAAAATAGTTGTGGGCCAGGTGACCTGAACTTCCCTCAAGAGCAAAGGACAGGGAGATGGAAAAGGCTACCGCAAGTGCACAAACCCCTTGGAGGATGATTACACTTAACTGACGTTTAGAAAAGGGCTTTTGCATTATTCCCATAAATAAACAAGTGTGGAAAGTCATGTCTGTAAACCATGACTGGAAGAGTGCCAGCTCCAGGGAGGACACAATTTCCATGCTTAGCATTCTATACCTGGCCACCATAACTGGCAGCACTGGTTGCATTACAGAAGAGTTATTTACTACATAGAGAGTCTCTAGTCTGTGAAAGGAAAATAATCTATTACCATCTGGTTAAAGCAAATCAAAAGACAAATATGGACATTGGAAAATGGCAAAAAACCTAAAAGTGTTTTTTCAAAATAACTTGGCAAAGGGGAGGCATAGTCTTGCCTCCGCACATGAGTGTTTGCAAGTGCCTGGCATACATGCAACACAGCCGGCAAAGTGTAACCTAATGCCTGTACTTCGGTCCATGTGATTGTAGTGAAGCAACTAGATTCAAGGGGTTAACAGTAGTTCAGTTGGGCACATTATTTGAGCAAAATCTATTCTTATTTCAAGTCTCAACTACTTTTATATCACAATCATCTACAACTGATATTTTTGCACATTTCAGAAGAATATGAAGATGATAATTTTATTTCATCTCTTTTGTCAATTACTGAATAAAAAAAGGGACAATTGTGTTCATAATGAATTGCCATGGTGATGCTGGCCTAATATCCCTAAGGGAAGACACAGACTTTGGAAAACTAGGTAGAAGTCTCCCTGGACCAAATTTCCTTGCTGGTACTCAGACACAAGATGAAAGTTACTCAAAACCATTCCAACATCTGCTAGACTGACAATGAAAATAATAAAAATAACCCCCTACATCATTTTGCATGAAAAGGACTTCAACTCAAAATATGAAACACCAAAAATTGCCTTCAAAAGTCTATAAAAACATTGGAGGGAAGCATAGAAGATCAATACAGTCTATGACTAACACTCACCT